TAACAGCAAATTTAAAAAACGTTAAGCATGAAAAACTTTCAACATGCGCATTTCAAATCATTAATTTTCATGACTTATTTTTAAGTTAAAAGTATTTCCAAAAACAATATCAAAAATAATTCAAAGAACAATTTCAAAAAAATCTGCTCTATAAACAATCAAAGCAATCTTACTAGAAAATCTGCATCAAAGTTTACTTTAAATTTAAAGATGACATTGGAAATTTCAGCTAAAAAGGGCAAAACATTTAAAGAAATAGCATTTACAGGTGTTAAACCAAAGAAAATTGTTATTGTTTTAGATTTTTTAGATTAGTGCTTTATTTGTTGCTAACTTTTTTATATAATATTTGCTGTTGTTGGAATGCATTGCAAAAAATTATTTGCAAATTATGAGAAAAAAATTTTACTTTGTAAGTTGCCGAGAAAATCCCTCAAATCGCAGTTATGCAATTGCGCTGTTTTGCGAATAACAATTTTATTTCATGTTTTACATGATTAATGAATTAGAATTATTTCAATTTTCTATTAGTTTTTAATAATAATTAATTTTAATAATTTTTCGAATTATTAATAAACTATAGTTTAGCTTAATTTGGAGAATGGAATTTTTTCACCAAAATTAAGAATTTTAATTTTATAAGCCTTTGGGAATACCGTATTTGGCAGGGCTCCTCTGAGTTAGTTTGCACCCTTTACTTTTGAAGGTCTGTTTGAAAAAAAGCAAAACCATAAAATAATTATATAGATATATATCATTATAATTGTTTTTTTTTTGTGTGTGCGTGTGTGTATCTTTAATTTAAAATCAAATATTTATTAAAAATTAGTGGCAGCTAATGATTCCCAGTTTCCTAAAAATTCATTTTATGAATCAAATTGTGAATAATTCACAGTTAGTATTTCAGCCCTTGGAATTAGGGCTGACATTCGACCATGCTAACCTAACTGCTAACCTAAAAGTGTTAGAGGTTGACAAATAATCGTTAACTTCATTTCTATTTTTTATAACTCTTTTGTGTAAAATTTTTTTTGCAGACCTTATGCCTACCTCTAACAGTTTTGGGTCGGTAGTTTATTGCTGACCTCATTTTTCCTAAATCCAAGAGTTAGTATTTTGAAACAACCATTTTAAAATTTTTTTGAGGCTTATAGAATGAATAAAATTTTTAAGTTCTGGCTAATTAAGAGTAATGGAAACAACAAAAAAACTGTGAATGAATGAAAATCAATTTTGTATTTCTTTGTCAGTGAATTGAATAATTTTGTGCTGAATAAATAAAAATAAAAATGTTAAATAACCAAACATAAAGTAAACTCATAAAACAAAAAAGTATTAATGGGAAAGTATGAAGTAAGCAAAAAAAAGATATAAAGTGATATAAAAAAGTAGAAATATTAAAAAATAAATTTAATAAAAAGTTAAAGAAATAAAGCATGTGCAAAAAAATATCAATTAAATGTTACATAATAAAAATAAATAATTCAAAATATAAATATAAAATTTATCAATATTATTGTTTATCAAATTTATTATTTATTGATTTTTTTTTTATACTTATTTTATTATTTTAGAAAAGTGGTTATTTGCCTGGTCAATCTGGATTGCAAACGTTAAATATTTTAGGGCAAAAATGCTTTAATAATGAAAACTATAAACATGATGTTTCTGTTACTTTTTCTCGGGGAGTATATCAAACTGCTGTCATAAACATAAACAATGAGGGCACTTTCAATATCACTGTTGTAAGTATTTTACTGTAATTAGTTATTATTCAATTATAATTACAATTTTTCATATTTAATAAACTCAACTTTCTAAATATTTCGCTCATACAAAAAAAAATTGTAGTCAAATCAATTTTCTAAATTCTAATAATTTTAAAAATATGTTTTTATGTATTTTTAATATTTTTTGTTATTATTATATTTTTTGAATAACAGTTTGTGTATTTATAAATGCTGAGCATTGAATGAAAATTATTGGTACTTAGATAATTTTAATTTATGGTTTAACATATTTTAATAGTTTTAGTTTTTTTTTACCTAATTTTTATACTTTGTTTTTTTAGTTAAATCAGTATTTTCCAGAAGTTAATGTTGAAACAGCAGACTCTAATGTTAGGTAATCTTAATTATTGGTATAAACTTGTGCATCAGTACACACCGATGAGTACACACCTTATATTTACAAAAAAGTTATATATAGTGCTACACCATTTTATAACAATACTTTTGCTGCTAGTTGAAAATTAGATAACAAGATATGTAAATAAAATAATATTATAATAATATAATTTATAATAGGATTATAAAAGATTGCTTTCCAAAAAAACCTGGCCTTGACAAATACTAATGCAAGATCTCAAAAGGTTACTTTGTTTAATCCTTCATTTTTCACTAAATGTAATGCAAGATCTCAAAACATTATTTGGTTTAATCCTTTATTTTCACTAAGAACTAACATTGCAAGAAATTTTTTAAATCTAGTTGAAAACGTTTTCCAAAAACAAAAACAAGTTTTGCAAAATCTTCAGTAGGAATAACTTAAAAGTTAGTTATATCTATATTTCTAAAATCACTAATATTATTAATTTGCAAAGAATTAATAATATAGTAGTCTTTAATTTTTTCAAAAACAAATAAAATTTTATTTCAAATAGCCTTTCTCTTACTATGAAGTTATTAAATCTTATTTGTTATTAATTCAATATTAAATTTTTTTATTTATACAAGTTTATTTAATGTCAAAATAAAGTTATTATGATTTTTTTAATTCACTGCATTCATCTCCCAGAGGGAGGGACAACTACAGTCTAGGAGCTTTATTTTTTTAATTCACTGCATTCACCTTTTGGAGTAAAAGGCAATTGCAGTCTAGGAGCTCCATTTTTTTTAATTGTTGTAACTTTCTCAATCTTTATCTCTGTAACACTAGTCTTGATGAAAAAGACCTACGCAGGTAAGGGGCAGTACTACCATGGGGCAAAAGTGGAATTGAGCTTGGAACTTCTTGTTAAAGCATTCTACCACTACATTACTAATGCATTAATAAAAATTATTGAATATTAAAAGTATATAGTTATAAATTTATTTATCATCTTTTAATAAAAAAACATATAACATTTCCAAAAAAAAAGAAACTTATTTGTAATATCAGTCTAATTTTTTTTAAATCGCTTTTTTTACCTTTTTAAAACATTACACTTTTATTAACCTATATGCTTTAGTTTTAAAGAATATATATGTATTTTTTTTTAGAATAACAGAAATAGTCTGTTAGTTCAAGAAATGCAACATTCTAACACTCTTTTAAATCTAGTTTTTTTATTGCAATCTTTAATTTAGTAAATATTTTTTTTAAATTTCACTTTACACCAGTTTATTTAGTAAACAAGTTTCTCTTAAACAAGGTTGTTCAACAAGTCAAGGTCAGGAAAGTTTAACAGCAAATATTCTTTTCTCAATAACATCTGTAAAATATCTTTATGTCATTTTTTTTAAAAGGTGAAAAATTGTGAACAGTAAAAAATTGTAAACAGTAACCAATAGCATTTTTTCTTCCTAACATACACCTAGTCACACTGGAAATTTTTGTGGAAATTTATATATATGTATAAATTTCTACAAAAAGTTGCAGTGTGACTAGGTGTATGTTAAAAAAATTTAAAAAGTTGGTATATATATATATATATATATATAATATATATATATATATATATATATATATATATATATATATATATATATATATATATATATATATATATGTATATATATATATATATATATATATATATATATATATATATATATATATATATATATATATATATATATACACACATATACACCAACTTTTTCATCTGCTTTACTATATACCACCTTTAATATATATATATACTACCTTTTTCATCTGCTTTAAACGACAATTTATAGCCCAGGTTCTCTTGTTTTGTGCATTTCATATGCTATTTATGTCAAATATCTTTTCATCAAAAAACAAAGTTCATATTTTTTAATTTTTTTCTGACTAGTCAACATTAGTAAGTAGCAATTCTGTACATGTTTTGTATACCAAACTATGTAGGTAACATTTAAGTTTTCGATGAATAAAATTGTTTGAAGTTAAATTTTCATTGGCTGAGGGAAACATTTTGCGAATGTTTTTTGTTTTTTTTTGTACATGCAGTTTGTTGTCGACTAAGTGAGTGATGAAATTCCATAGTATCTCTTTTTTTAATCATTTTACATTATTTTTGCAATGTAAAAAAATATAAAAAAAATCTGAATATTAAAAATCTTTGATATTTAGTCATTATTTTGGTACTTAAAAAATACTACAATTTTTAAATGAACTTATTTTTTTACTTTTTGCTACAAAATGACACAAAATAATTATTTAACATAATTGAGCTTTTAAAAAAAAACTGATTTCAAAAATATTTAGAAGAATTATTAAAAAAAAACCTAGCACTTTTTTTTTGGATTTTAAATTGAGCATTCTGCTTGGTTTTGTTATTGTTATTATAGTTTGGTTACATCATAGAGCATTATTAGGGAATAACAAGATGAGTTTGTTTTGAATAACAAGATGAGATGATTTCTCTCATCTATTCATTCCCATTCATTCATGTATTCTTACTTTAATAAAATGCATTTTGTTCCCATTTTTAACTTGAAAATACCTTTACATCTCCCATTATCATTCTTTCTTTAATATGCTAAATAAATATATAAAAGAATATACTAAAAGATAAAAAAACAAGTTTTTTTTTTAACTTTTAGTATAATTTACTTTTATAATTAGGTGCTATTTTATAAAAGTGAACAATTACTAGCTCAAAGATATGATACTTATAGTTTCTAGATACAAGGTTCTACATTAAGAAAATTACATGATGGGGACTCTAAGAAGATATAGCTCCCCACAATTTTCACATGCACTGCTAATTTTCAGCCTTTTCCCTGATTTTTTTTGAATCTTAAATGATTTATCAA